GGGGTAGGGTGAGGGCTAATAATAGGCTCCCAGTAGGACATTCTCTTCCCCAATCTAGTCGATGTGATTTTGATATGGAGCTGGAGGACTCCTCGCCCTCCGAAATTGCTGAAATCATACATGATCTTAAGAACAAATCGACTTCAGATATGAATATACAGCCTCTTAAAAAGGTTTGCAATGTGCTGTCTCCAGTAGTTAATCACCTGATCTCACACTCCCTTCACGAAGGAGTATTCCCCGAAAAGCTCAAACTTGCTAAGGTTATCCCACTCCATAAAGGAGGATCGCGCAGCGAAATTACAAACTACAGACCAATCTCACTTTTGTCCTGCTTCTCAAAGATATTCGAAAAAATAATGCATGCACGTTTAGTAAAGCACCTAAAATCACGTAATATTCTATATGCATCGCAATTTGGTTTTAGATCGGGTCACAGTTGTGAACATGCGTTGCTTGAAGCTCAGTTTAACATACATAAAGCTCTAGAAAGGAAGCAAGTGTCAGCATTACTGCTTCTTGACTTCTCCAAGGCGTTTGACCTAGTAGACAGTGAGATACTGCTACATAAGCTGGAGCACTATGGTGTAAGAGGCCTTAGCTTATCCTGGTTTGAGTCTTATCTAACTAACCGGAAACAGTATGTTCACGTCAACGGTTGCAGTTCAGAAAAAATGGGATTGGAACATGGAGTTCCTCAAGGGTCCATTCTTGGTCCTATATTGTTCATTATTTACATAAACGACCTTGCAAATGTAAGCGATATAGCCCATTATATTTTCTTCGCTGATGATGCAAACATCATCGTTTCTGCCGACACGTACACTGAACTGAACATGCGTGCAAACAGAGTATTAAATACTGTACAGACATGGGTTAAAAACAACGGTCTTAAACTTAATGTAGGAAAAACTAAATACATGATATTCACTAACAGATTACCAGAGGATATAAATATTAGTATAGAAGGACAGCGACTAGTGAAAAGTGAACATGAACGATTTTTAGGTGTCATTATTGACTCAAAACTTAGCTGGAGCCAGCACATTAAACAGTTAAAGACTAAAATATCCAGAAATGCAGGCGTAATGATGAAACTTAAAAGTTCCATTCCGAATAAAGCTCAAAAAATGCTATACAATAGTTTAATTCAATCTCACCTGTATTACTGCGCTACTGTTTGGGGTACTAAATCTTTAAATTCCATTCAGTCTTTATTCTCTGCTCAAAAGAAAGCTATTCGCGCCACTGATTCAGAATATCATAACTATTTTTACGACAAAGAAAAACGTAAACTACCATCTCACACAAAATCCATCTTCAACAAAATAGGAATTTTGGCTCTTCCTAATCTCATTGCTAAAAGCTGTCTAACTTTGATGCACAAGGTTTATATGGGAGTAGCACCATCGAGTATCTGTAGTATATTTGAAAAATCACCGCTTAGACAAACGGAAAGGAGAAATCCAAAGTATTTTGAAATTAAGTTCAACAGATTACGGATCACCGATTATAGCATCTCTAACGTAGGACCACGATTATATAACAACACGATAAACGAAATAAACAAAATCCTTCCCTTCAACGTACCTAAGTTACAAGATAAGTTTATTAATGCATACAAGGACAACATTGTACGTTACTTACTGGACAAACAAAAACTTGACCTAGAAAACCTTTCGTGGACGGAAAAGAACTTTGTCCTTTACAACTTTTAAACAAAATATTAGCAAAATATAACAGCTGTAAGAATCCTAAACGTTAGTGCAGTCAAATAAATGAACTGCGATAATGCATTTGACAGTCAGTCACTGCAATTTATTCTGCAACTTATTTTTCAATTTTCACTGCCACACTTAGGCTTATCTTGCCTACACATTTAAAAAAAAACGAAATTCCTTGCGCACCGCGTACTAAAATTACTTGGATTTCTACCGCTTTGATAAATGACTACATGAAGATGGGGAGTTAATATTTTTGATTTATATAATATAGATTATTCATTCTTTAGTGTAGATTAACTTTATTTTTATATATTTTACCAAGTGTGAAGGATCAACCATACGTTATTGATATTTTTGAAATATTTAATGATACATTGATATAATAATAAATGATTGTAATATTTTTATTGAGGCACATGCCACCCCATCGCGGGTTTACTACTACTACTCAATAACCACCAGCCCCCTACCGAAGGGGTAGGGTGAGGGCTAATAATAGGCTCCCAACCACTCAATAACCACCAGCCCCCTACCGAAGGGGTAGGGTGAGGGCTAATAATAGGCTCCCAACCACTCAATAACCACCAGACCCCTACCGAAGGGGTAGGGTGAGGGCTAATAATAGGCTCCCAACCACTCAATAACCACCAGCCCCCTACCGAAGGGGTAGGGTGAGGGCTAATAATAGGCTCCCAACCACTCAATAACCACCAGCCCCCTACCGAAGGGGTAGGGTGAGGGCTAATAATAGGCTCCCAACCACTCAATAACCACCAGCCCCCTACCGAAGGGGTAGGGTAAGGGCTAATAATAGGCTCCTAATAACCACCAGCCCCCTACCGAAGGGGTAGGGTGAGGGCTAATAATAGGCTCCCAACCACTCAATAACCACCAGCCCCCTACCGAAGGGGTAGGGTGAGGGCTAATAATAGGCTCCACTCAATAACCACCAGCCCCCTACCGAAGGGGTAGGGTGAGGGCTAATAATAGGCTCCACTCAATAACCACCAGCCCCCTACCGAAGGGGTAGGGTGAGGGCTAATAATAGGCTCCCAACCACTCAATAACCACCAGACCCCTACCGAAGGGGTAGGGTGAGGGCTAATAATAGGCTCCCAACCACTCAATAACCACCAGCCCCCTACCGAAGGGGTAGGGTGAGGGCTAATAATAGGCTCCCAACCACTCAATAACCACCAGACCCCTACCGAAGGGGTAGGGTGAGGGCTAATAATAGGCTCCCAACCACTCAATAACCACCAGCCCCCTACCGAAGGGGTAGGGTGAGGGCTAATAATAGGCTCCCAACCACTCAATAACCACCAGCCCCCTACCGAAGGGGTAGGGTGAGGGCTAATAATAGGCTCCCAACCACTCAATAACCACCAGCCCCCTACCGAAGGGGTAGGGTGAGGGCTAATAATAGGCTCCCAACCACTCAATAACCACCAGCCCCCTACCGAAGGGGTAGGGTGAGGGCTAATAATAGGCTCCCAACCACTCAATAACCACCAGCCCCCTACCGAAGGGGTAGGGTGAGGGCTAATAATAGGCTCCCAACCACTCAATAACCACCAGCCCCCTACCGAAGGGGTAGGGTAAGGGCTAATAATAGGCTCCCAACCACTCAATAACCACCAGCCCCCTACCGAAGAGGTAGGGTGAGGGCTAATAATAGGCTCCCAACCACTCAATAACCACCAGCCCCCTACCGAAGGGGTAGGGTGAGGGCTAATAATAGGCTCCCAACCACTCAATAACCACCAGCCCCCTACCGAAGGGGTAGGGTGAGGGCTAATAATAGGCTCCCAACCACTCAATAACCACCAGCCCCCTACCGAAGGGGTAGGGTGAGGGCTAATAATAGGCTCCCAACCACTCAATAACCACCAGCCCCCTACCGAAGGGGTAGGGTAAGGGCTAATAATAGGCTCCTAGGACCCCACTCAATAACCACCAGCCCCCTACCGAAGGGGTAGGGTGAGGGCTAATAATAGGCTCCCAACCACTCAATAACCACCAGCCCCCTACCGAAGGGGTAGGGTAAGGGCTAATAATAGGCTCCTAGGACGAGCAGTTAGCAGACCGAACCCCAACCACTCAATAACCACCAGCCCCCTACCGAAGGGGTAGGGTGAGGGCTAATAATAGGCTCCCAACCACTCAATAACCACCAGCCCCCTACCGAAGGGGTAGGGTGAGGGCTAATAATAGGCTCCCAACCACTCAATAACCACCAGCCCCCTACCGAAGGGGTAGGGTGAGGGCTAATAATAGGCTCCCAACCACTCAATAACCACCAGCCCCCTACCGAAGGGGTAGGGTGAGGGCTAATAATAGGCTCCTAATAACCACCAGCCCCCTACCGAAGGGGTAGGGTGAGGGCTAATAATAGGCTCCCAACCACTCAATAACCACCAGCCCCCTACCGAAGGGGTAGGGTGAGGGCTAATAATAGGCTCCCAACCACTCAATAACCACCAGCCCCCTACCGAAGGGGTAGGGTGAGGGCTAATAATAGGCTCCCAACCACTCAATAACCACCAGCCCCCTACCGAAGGGGTAGGGTAAGGGCTAATAATAGGCTCCTAGGACCCCACTCAATAACCACCAGCCCCCTACCGAAGGGGTAGGGTAAGGGCTAATAATAGGCTCCTAGGACGAGCAGTTAGCAGACCGAACCCCAACCACTCAATAACCACCAGCCCCCTACCGAAGGGGTAGGGTAAGGGCTAATAATAGGCTCCTAGGACCCCACTCAATAACCACCAGCCCCCTACCGAAGGGGTAGGGTGAGGGCTAATAATAGGCTCCTAGGACCCCACTCAATAACCACCAGCCCCCTACCGAAGGGGTAGGGTGAGGGCTAATAATAGGCTCCTAGGACCCCACTCAATAACCACCAGCCCTCTACCGAAGGGGTAGGGTGAGGGCTAATAATAGGCTCCTATGACGAGGATTCAGTCCGCCAATCAGTTTACTTAGGAGGACGGTTAAAAAGACTTCGGATAACCTCTTACATTAGATTGGTTGTATTTCTCTCGTCTTACTGATCTTATTTATTATTAATCGGTTACGAAGATAGTAAAACATACGGAACCAATTCCATTTTCAAATATAACTAAATTAAATAACTAAATCCAGCAACTATGTAGTTAAATACAATGTGACAGGAGCACATGTGAAGGTCGGATTTACGAAGAACCTCTCATCATAACTATAAAATACAGGATATAGTTATTAAAGACCCCCTCCCCCGGCCCCTTAAAGACCAACCTGGCACTGAGGGCATCTGTCAAGTTGGAGTCTCCGAAATATCTCTCCATAAGAGCGTTGATAAGAGCTACTGTTATCTGCTTACCACTTACAACTAAATCTCTGAACGTCGTTCTGCAGAGGTCTTCTTTGATATTCTGAGATTTTGAGCGTCAGAAAGTTGTAACCTTGTTTTAGAATTGTGTATTATTGGGGGGGGTGTCATGTCCGTCTATGTCCGCCTATGTCCTGTCCTTTTTGGATTCTATGAGACAACGGACGTGTTTTTTGGGACATTGGCGGACACGGACGGACATTGGCGGACTTGGACGGACATTGGCGGACTCTGACGGACATTGGCGGACTCGGACGGACATTGGCGGACCCGGACGGACATTGGCGGACTTGGATGGACATTGGTGGACATTAGCGGACATTGGTGGACATTAGCGGACAAACATTTTGAGGACTGAAGAGTACTGAAGAGTACTGAAGAGTACTGAGGAGGATGGCTAAGAAGGATGGCTGAGGAGGATGGCTAAGGAGGATGACTGAGGAGGATGACTGAGGAGGATGACTGAGAGGGAGGAGAAGGATCAGGAAGACCCAGGAGGAGGAGGACCCAGAAGGAGGACCTAGGAGTAAGGAGGAGGAGGAGGAGAACTGAGGAGGATGACTCAGGAGGAGGAGGACTGAGGAGGAGGACTGAGAAGGAGGAGGACTGAGGAGGATGGCTGAGGAGGATGGCTGAGGAGGATGGCTGAGAGGGAGGAGGAGGAGGAAGAGGACTGAGGAGGAGGAGGAGAAGGACTGAGGAGGAGAAGGAGGACCCAGGAGGAGGAGGACCCAGGAGGAGGACCCAGGAAAAGGCCCCAGGAGGAGGAGGAGGACTGGGGAGGAGGAGAACTGTTGAGGACTGATGAGGAGGACTGAGGACGAGGAGGAGGAGTAGGAGGAGGACTGAGGAGGGGAGGAGGAAGAGGACTGGGGAGGATCAGGAAGACCCAGGAGGACCCAGGAGGAGGAGGAGGAGGAGGAGGAGGACCCAGGAGGAGGAGGAGGACTGAGGAGGACTGAGGAGGACCCAGGAGGACTGAGGAGGAGGACTGACGATGACTGAGAAGGAGGAGGACTGAGGAGTACTGAGGAGGATGGCTGAGGAGGATGGCTGGGGAGGATGGCTGAGGAGGATGACTGAGGAGGATGACTGAGAGGGAGGAGGAGGAGGACTCAGGAGGAGGACTCAGAAGGAAGAGGAGGACTCAGGAGGAGGACTCAGGAGGAGGACTCAGGAGGAGGACTTAGGAGAAATGAGAAGGAGGACTGAGGAGAACTGAGGAGGAGGAGGAGGAGGAGGACTGAATAGGAGGAGGAGAAGGAGGGGGACTGGAAGAGGACCGGGGAGGAGGAGGACTGATGAGAAGGATGAGGAGGAGGACCCAGGAGGAGGAGGACTGAGGACCGAGGATGAAGAGGAGGAGGAGGACCCAGGAGGAGGAGGACTGAGGAGGAGGACTGAGGAGGATGGCTGAGGAGGATGACTGAGAGGGAAGAGGAGGAGGAGGAGGAGGAGGAGGACTCAAGAGGAGGAGGAGGACTGAGAAGGAGGAGGAGGAGGACTGAATTGGAGGAGGAGGAGGGGACTGGGGGAGGACTGAGGAGGAGGATGGAGGACTGAGGAGAAGGATGAGGAGGAGGACTGAGGAGGACTGAGGACTGAGGAGGAAGAGGAGGAGGATGAAGAGGAGGAGGAGAACCCAGGAGGAGGACCCAGGAGGAGGACTCAGGAGGAGGAGGAGGACTCAATGAAACAAGAAATTTCAATGAAACAAGAAATTTAATTTTAGCACATTTTACAGAATAAAAAGATGTAAAACAATTCATAAAATATAATGCCCATTGGGGGGGGGGAGGAGAAGGACTGTTGAGGACTGATGAGGAGGACTGAGGACGAGGAGGAGGAGTAGGAGGAGGACTGAGGAGGGGAGGAGGAAGAGGACTGAGGAAGATCAGGAAGACCCAGGGGGAGGAGAAGGAAGAGTAGGAGGAGGAAGCATCTAAATGTTATTTCCATTTTTGTCCGTTTTTGTCCATTTTTTTCCGTTTTTGTCCGCTCTATTTTTTGTCCGTTTTGAAAATATAGGGTACCGAACGGACAAAAAACATGATCCCCCTATAACAGCAAAAATTGAACATTTTATTTAGCAATTTAGGTGTCCATTAATGTCCGCCTATGTCCGCCTATGTCCGCCTATGTCCGCCTATGTCCGTCTATGTCCGCCTATGTCCGCCTATGTCCGCCTATGTCCGTCTATGTCCGCCTATGTCCTGTCCTTTTTGGATTCTATGAGACAAGCGGACATAGACGGACGTGACACCCCCCCCATTATTATATTATTTTATGATGAGACAAAAAATAAGTGGTAGTTACTGCTCTGTACCCTTCAGCAGACTACTAGTCTGATCGCTGTACAAGGAGATTAGTCATTCATTCCGATATGATTATTTGAAATATTATCACCAGACTGGTGAATGTATCAAAGTTGCATGTAAAATTTACTGATAAACCCCTGATATATATATATAGCTAAAAGTTTTAACTATCGATATAAGAAGTGCAGTGATAAATTCATAAATTGCGCGAAACAAAATTTATAAATAAAATTTAGCAGTACGTTTAAATGCTTACAAATGTGCTTTACACAATACAATATGGCGCGGAGATCGCGCGCAAAAAACTTTCTACAACTCCGTCGACTAGACAGGAATGGTTTAAGTCATTACATAATAATTGTGATGATGCAGCGATTAAATGGTCAATGAAACTAAATTCATATTACAGTCCAGAAAAAGTAACTGAAATTTACCATTGGAAGTCTTTCCGCAACAAGATGAAACTGGTATTCGCAAAGTTCTCTCCACAACTCTAACGCTTCGACACTGTACTGAACCAGTAGTCTCAGTTGCAACACTGAGTTTCGTTCCAGTGCTTCAGCCTGAAAATTCAAAGATAAGTCGGGTATGATTTAGAGAATTGCAGTTCTGCGTTTAATCAGAAAATGCCGATACTGTTCCAGTAATGGCTAGGGTAAAAAACAGTTTTCGTTCAAACAGCGGTCCGTGATTTAGAGTTTCAGTATTTATATAGTCAGGCTAATAACACATGGTGGCCGGGTAAATGACAGGTACCTGTACTCTGCCACCGTTGGGCCCGGCGCGATGAGGTGAGTCAGTGGGTAGTTCGGAGAGGGATAGCGGAGCATACTCGTCAAGGAATGTCTTGAGGCCGGACAGTTGCTCTGTGAACCACGCTAAATCATCACATGTGAACCTGGACGAGTTATCTGTGCAACTATCGAACATATGAAACCGCAAACTGATTAGTAACTTATACCATGTCTTACTGCAAATTATAGACCGTTCCTGAGATCACATTATTCCCAACTAAACCATCACGCACACAGACACACACACACACACACACACACACACACACACAGACTGTATATCCTTACCTGCTAACAAGGAGTTTATCAGGAGACTGGTTCTCTTCCACCAGTTTGCCGTCCCAAAGGGGAGCCAGTAGTCTCGCAAAGTAAAGACAAATACCGGCGTGCTTACCACTGTACACCACTTCGTTAGGCATTATAGCCCCACCCAGTGACTGTGTCGGCTGAAGGAGTAACATACAGATTTCAATAATTTAAAACTAGAACTAGATAAAAATATCTAGAACTTCGATTAAGTTACCACAGGCTTGTTTAATGTTAAAATAGTAAAATTCCTTACATCTCTATTGTGACTAGTGTTGAGCATGGTATTATTGTTAGGGCCCAGTAGAGAGTAGTTGCTGGTTTGGCCCACAGTTGTGCTGCTGAAAGTGCCACTGCGCAGTGTTGGCTCGCCTCCAAACTTGAAGAAGGACCGTGCAGCGCTGGACGCGATCAGGTGATCTGTCCCCACAGGATTGCACGTCAGGATCAGTGCTGTAGCACATCCTTCTTTCTCTGAGTGCAGCTTGTAAAAGTTAGCGATAGCCTCTGTGTCCATACCATTGCTACTCTCCAGCAAGTGAAGGAGCTGGTCTACGGGTCGGAGAGAGGTTAGGATGAAGGTGCCCTGGGAGGTAAGGAGGATCGTGCGCTGAACAGGTTTGACGTGCTGGCACACTATAGTTGGGGGAAGTGTTCGCGTACCTGCCGGCAAATTGTATTTTGTGAGCAGGTTAAAGATGGATCTGGTTGCTTGGATTGTCCCATTTATTTAAATATACAAAATTTTCATCTCAAGTTTCGCTAGACACACCTGCTACTTTAGCCTCAAATAAGCAAGGTTCAGGAGCCTCTTCCAGAGCCCAGACTCTCCCCTCGATGGCAGTTGTGATGGTGGTCTCTTGAAGTGAGGTGGTAATACCAAATGTGTCAGGGGAGATGCTCCATACTACATCTATACTGTCGTTCTGTGACATACACATCTGCACATTCCCTGTTAAGTATCCGTGGTAAAATCTTAACTATGCAACACAAATAACTGGAGTCTCTATAAACTTAATAAGTTAATAGAGTCCCCCTACCCCCCAGAGTTTATATAGTCCCCCCCAGAGTTCATAGAGTCCCCGTTTAGTTTATAGAGTCCCCCAGAGTTTATATAGTCCCCCCAGAGTTTATATAGTCCCCTCCCCCCAGAGTTTATATAGTCCCCCCCCCCCCCATACAAGTACAACCTGGGTCCCCAGTCTTAGCTGTTTATAGGCATGCAAATATAGCGGAGCGACAGGCCGAGCGCCGCCCAGTTAATTCCATACCGAATTTGAAAATCGAGTAACCGTATGTATGTTTATTGTTTAAACTTTATGCAACCTGACACGGATCTGTGCAAAATAGTAATACTAATACTAACAATAATAACAGTATGCTATCAATTAGTGCCTAATGGGATACGTACATATCATGGTGAAATGAAATTAACAATTTACTTGGTCAGTTCAGCGCCGCGCGACAACAATTATTTAATTCAGAATTTCTCGCAAAATAACTTTGTGCAGGCTAGTTAAGAACGTGGGCGACATATTGGCGCGCAGGCACCCCACATCCAGAAAGTTTTATATTTCCTCCCAAATGCGTTTTTTTCTAAATTCTGTGGCCAATTCACGAGCAGGGACGTAGCCAGGATTTTTCTTTGGGGGGGGCTGTCGGCGAGCGTAGCGAAGCCCCTTAGCGGGGGCTAGGGAGGCGCAGCCCCCAGGAAATTTTTTGCAAAATAGGGTGTTTTAGACGACATTTGGCATTCAAGAAATTTGTAGGACAGCAATAAACTGGGATTGAAAAGAATCAAGTACTCACGTAAATTTGGTAACTTCACAACAGCAATCTGCATTCTCCAATCAGAATATTTCACTGCGTTCCAAAACTGACAGGATGTTCCTCTTTGATTTTTATACAATCGAAAAATTTTCTTCAAAAATTTCCTCAATTAATTTGTCTTTATTCCAAAAAAATATTTCGAAATTTAGGAGTAACTTCTCAAAAATTTCCTCTTTTTCCTCCCGTTTTTTCCTCCCAAAAAAAATGTTCTCCCAGGCTGCCTGTCAAGATGGCGTGTTTCTGGATGTGGGGCAGGCACGCACGGTCGCACCTCGTTCGCTAACCCTTGTCCTTGACTCTTTTGTGCCTTTGGCACTTTGAGCCATGGATCTGGAAAAAATCAAGTTTAACAGTTAACACTGTTAACGATTACCTCTAGCTAGATTAGCAAGATGAACATTGAGTGGTCGCTGGGGCGGGCCATTAGGAGCGAAGCCAGGTGGCATTCTGATGTGAGCCAGGGACAGGGAGCTGTACCGTCCCCCCAGAGATGCTGCGTTTATACTGAAGTAGAGACGTACTCCTGAGCTTGTCACTCCTGAGATGACCATTTTTAGTGATTCGAGCACGATTATTCTCTCTCGAATGATTGTTAAAATAAGTTTCAGGAGTCAGGACTGATTAATATCATAATTAATTTCTGAAGAAAAACAATCTGTATGATTCAAACTGTATGATGTCATGCACATGAGTTAAACAGGAAATTGTTTAATAAAATGATTACCTAGCAGTGCAAGTGAAGCAGATTCTGATTTCTTTATAGGACAAATAGAGACGAGAGGTTTGAAGTTGGAACTATCAAGACCGTGAGGGTTGTTAGCAGCTCGTATTGCTTCAGACAGGATGGTGTCTTGTGAAATGCTACAAACACTACCGATACCTGGAGTTGTAAAAATCAAGTAAGAGATCTATTAACGATTCATGATAATCAGAACTACAATGTCAAACGCGGTGAAACCCAGGCATTCAACTTGAAACCTTGCTTACATCTTTTGTATGGGTTAAAGTAAGCAACTGAGGTACTACCTTGTCCATCTTCAGCTAGGTCGTAGACGTAGATAGAACCGTTATCAGATCTAGTGTACAGTAGTTGACGTGTGGTGTCGTATTCTATCTGCACTATTGGGTCATTCTCACCGAACCTTAGGGCTGTGGAGTGAAAGTTAGATATATGATTACAAGGAGACTCATGGATGTTGGAGGAAATTCAGGTGATTTCAGTAAAATCGAACAATGATCGTTTCACAAACTCTTTGGGAAATCTGTAAATCAGTTGATATGATCTATACTAGCTTTCTTAATTTAAATAATTTCAAGTTCACTTTTTACTCATCTGGAAAACATGATCTAATTTTAGTATATCCCATCCAAAATCAGTACAAGTGTTTATAAACAAGATGGCAAGGAAAATTGTAATTAATTACAAAACAAACAAATTTGTAACCTGATGGAACTAGGAATGAGAAGTAAGAGGAGCTTTGGTTTACGAGTTTGCACCTCTTTCCAAACCAGGATAGATAAGACTGGTATTGCAATTCGTAGAGATGCCCGTTAGCCCCAGCTAGGAAGATTCTGCCTTCAGGTGTTCCTTTCACCTTAAAATGGGAATAAATTTAAATCGTGATAAGTCTGAGACTTTTCTCATATTCAGCTGGCAGAAGCCTCTTTGAATCTTATTATATTGCTGTGTAAATTGTATTCTAATTCTAATGTTCATCTCCTCGCTTAACAATTTTCATTCTCATCCTAAAATACCAACTATTTTAATTTAACCTTTAAAGTTGATACTGAATAGTTACACTGAAGAAACATCTCCTACCTGTACCATGTTGACTCCATCAGAAGAAAGAGAAAACAAAGGGTTAGGCTGAAGGTGCATGAGGGCATACTGATCATCACCCTCACTCTCAAACGTTACCCCCAGCACCACTACCTCGCTGGCGGTGCACACTACCAATAGAAACTTTATGTGAGGTTGGAATACACCGGGTTTGGGCACGACAAGTCCTACACTCAGCACTACCTCTGCTAGCCCCTCGTAGTACGCTAGATCTCCACCTGTCTCATAGTTCCAGAAATAAATCTCTGTGTCGATCGTTACCCATCCTCTCTCTGAAATATTATCATAATTAATTTAAGGAATTGAGAGGCCTACAACACACAGTCTTATTCACAGAGAATTTCAATACAAAATTAAATTATCTCAATGACAATCTGCAAAACATTTTCCCATTTAAGACTTACAATAAACTATTCAATTATTTTATAAAACATCTGCATTATATATACATGATCTGAGCACTAATTCTATTTAAAATTAGCATCTTATATCCTCATAACTTACGAATGGTAGGAAGAAGGCCCATGAAACAGTTGCACTGGACATGAGCAAACTGCTCAGACAGCTCCATCGGTAAAGGGACATGTCTTACTGGTCCTATCAGTGGAACTGATGCTAGCCCTTGTGCACTTAGAGACGGGTAGTCTCCATCTGTCATACCAGTCTGAAGAAATTGTTATTATTAAATCTTAAATAGCTAATAATTTAACCATTAGTCTGAAGAAAAGATAATTAAACTGTCACCACAGTCTACACCGCCCATATTCGAGTATCACTAATCACTATAAAATAGCATATTAACATTGTACATACCATTTTATAGTGATTAGTGATACATATACACATGTATATAAATTGAACAGCCCAATGATGATCATAACAAATACAAGATAGACTGAAACATTATCCTAGCTTCTGTTTTAAACAGTTAGAACTGTAGTACATCAGATTCTAATGTATTAAGCACTCAACACATGAGATCAATTCTGGACCTATCTTTACAAATGTGGCAACAATACTAACCAATGTACCACCAGCATGTCGAGCATTCCTTAGCAGCGCATCAAGTTCTGAATACAGACGATCTGATTGAAGGGCAGTGTCAATGTTCTTAGCTGCATTTTCTAGCGACTCTGTTGATATCGGTTTGTTGGCAGAAGAGCTAGCTGTCATTCCTAGGGGAAGTAACGATCATTATGATGTATTTATTATTACAATTTTTTTTATTATGATGTATTTATTGGATTGTTAAAGTATTATTATGTTTCTAGATAATGAATTTAAAGGAAATGTCTGGATATAAAGAATCTAGAATTTGTAATATTTATAGCTCAAATTGTTGGCCCTGGTGAAATCATGAATGAAATTAATAACAAATCTACTGTACTGCTTAGAAAATGATTTTGAATATCAAAAAGTATATTCGAGGTCATCAAGACATTCTTTGCCTCATTTTCATCCATGGTATAACATAATGGCCATTCTCAGGACCCAACAGAAACCCATGGCGTGTGGCTAGACCCAAGCGCATTCTACTTCCACGTTTTAGAAGTGCTGAAGAAAGGCACCATAGAAATTTGCAAATTAAGGTTGTGACCTTTTGAATCATGGTTAAGTTCCAACTTGGATTACAAACGGTTTTGGGACCGGTAAATTTGCCCTGAACTTTGGCAAGTAACCGCAATCCTAAATTCCCTTACTTCTGCTTCATGGCGTACTAAGAAGTTATCATATAAATAAAGCAGTCTTATATTGAGGAGTCAAAGGTGAACACCTTCACTCGGTAATAGGTTTAAATCCCGATGGGGTCTTACATGAGACCTCCAGATACTTTTTTCTGGCTGCTAAATTAAATTGAAGCTTAGATAGAAAATCCAGTCCATACTGATTACTGAATGATAAGTTGGTTTCTATGAATCTACATCAACACTGATCCTGAAACTTTCAGTATACAAAATATTGAAGTAAGGTGTTCCTTTTATTTAATATGATGTATTCTTGTGTAAATTTGTATTGATCCTGTTTGACAAGGAAAAATGCTCTTACCAGGAAAGGAATTACTCAACGTTTCAATGTTACAACACCGTATTCATGATCTCAAATCATTTATTATATATATAGTAGTGTTGAAAATATTAAAACTTTAATATGATGATGATGAAAATCTTAAAATAACTGGCTACAATAAGCACCATTAATTTAACCTCAAATATGCATATGCACTTCATACAACCAGTGGCGTAACGTTCCATGTTGGTACCCCCCATTAACTGTTAAGTCCTTAAATATTTTTTGTAATTTTTTATAATTTGTAAAATTGATAATGAGGAAACGTTATATTAACAAAAATCAAAGAACTCTCTAGCATCAAGTTAATTTATTGCTCTAGCCAGAGCCCTCGCGATTACATTGTATCTGCACGTCATGACAACGTGACCCCATTGACAATTCAAAACAATTTACAATTTAAATCGATTAAATCATAAATATGTTTTCAAATTTTGAATGCTGATAATTCCAAATGGGTGCCTTTTAAATAAAAATGTATACATATATATACACAAAAAGGTCCAAATCTGATTGCACCCGGCCGCGCCGCGCATCCAATAATGCTACTTGCAACTTACCTGGGGACCCCAGGCTATTATGTTCATAAACATGATAAATAAATAGTAAATAGACATAAATCGATTAAAGATTCGGCTGCATGATTACTACACATTGTAAACCTCTCTGATCGTGCACGCCAAGTGTGCAACCCGGCACACATTGTCTGCGACGCGTCAATTATTAACTTATACAAATACGTAAAATGAGCAAGCAACAGACTTGCAAGCTAGGCCAGGTATGGCCTCAGATTTAAATTTAAATTTAAATTGATTTATTTATTTATTGCCATTACAATGAATATTTATATCATAATAGATATCCGATAATAAACTTATTAGAACTTATTAGAACTCCTACAGCCTAATATAAGATGTTCGACTAACAAATAAAAAGAACTAGCAGGTTCATGGTCCCTCGAGCGCGCATTCATAGACCATACCGATCCAGAGATAATTCATCATATTATAAACTCTTCATCATCTATTCTACATTGCATCAAAGTTTTCTCCTGACATACTGGTTTTAGTATCTTGATGGCAACCTGTGTCACTCTCACCGACCTCACTAAAAGTAAAGTAAAGTAAAAATTATGACATAACATCATCATTAATGTCTACAAAGTATCATCTCACTACATGGAAAAATAACTATTTCTCCATCAAATTTAAAAGTAATAATTTATCAAATATTAATCATGAATAAAAACAACATTACAAATTTTTTATTTATTCATACTTCCCAGTGGAGTAAAGATTTATATAACGTTTCTTTGCTACATAAGGATGAAACCACAGATAATCATTGTGTTTTTCCTTATTACTGATATAACTGGTACCTTCAATTCTTGTTAAAACTTCTTTCGAAACATTCCAAAAATGAAAGTCATTTACAATACATTTAGAAATCATATTCTTTTTAAAACTTTACAATCCAATTTTAAAACTCAAACTGTCAAGCAATTCTTCACCTCCGAAGGAGCTTGTTCCAATAAGGAACAACCCGCTCTGGAAGAAAAGAACACTGAAGATTCAATTCTTGACCTTTGTCACACTCTTACTACATATTCTGGTGTTTGACGTTTGCAGCTAGATTGGACTCTGATATTATGTATTAGCAAATTTGTATAGTGTATAATTTTTTAGTGTTTATCATACACTGCAACTTGGTAGCGCGGCTGACACAAAACAAAATGTTGGCCTGGCTTATGCATAACCTAGTAAATAACACGCACTCCGATAAAAGCTATTTGGAGAAACTCCGCAAAATGTTCATTATAGTCAACGGGCACAAAGAAGCATTACTAGCAATTGTGTCCTTTACCCTCCTACATAATTTGAACATTTGTGGCTTACTCATTGAACAACATCTGAATTAATATGTATTTAGTAGTAAAAGATTCAGAAAGTTATCTTTTCATGTACGGTGTACACTGAAGTTAGTAAATGCAAAACAAACTTTTTCGATCAGCTGCGCGCCGGTTAACCAGTGTTGTACTAGGTAAAAATTGTGTATATTTTGTACATTTTTGAGTGTAAATTAATTTATTAATTTATCACAAATTATTTTATTATATTAAAACTTGACGGATGTTACTCGTATAAATTTCTTCGAAGTAGCGCGCGCCGGGCCAGATCATTAACAATGGTCAATATTAAAACCACTTATGTGAAAAGGTTATTTTGACTTTAAATATTTGAACTAAATATGAATTGATTGTGGGTATAAAATAAAATTTGTTTTACTAAAATTTGTTTTATACTATTTATTGGATGAAACCAAATTAAGACCTGACCTGCTTGGTCTAAACAAGTTTAAACCATTATCGCGATCGTCGCTGTGAGAAGCCTTATTAAGTGCGCGGCGCGGCACAGTAACGCATCGCGCTACAAGTCAAACCATTAATAACCTTAAAAGCTTCAATAAGGTTCCCACGTATATTTACCGCTTTCATGCTGATTGGTCAATGGTCACTGGTCAAAAATGTAGTAAAAACTGTAAAATTTGGTCAAGGAGACGGCAGAAAAGCTTTTTTAAATCTTCCAAAACATATTTTTATGTTTTGATGATTTTTTGACCATTGATTGACGATATCAATCCGTTGAGATCGTTGCTCTGCGAAGCAGAGCAACGATCGTCGATGCAAAGCAAGAATGCTAGTTCGCGCGGCGCGTCGAAGCGGCGAAGTCCTCCAATTTTGACCATTGTTAATGGTTTGGCCCGGCGCGCTACTTCGTAGCACTTGCCATCAGGCCATTTCGAGAAGAAAGCGGCGCGCGCTACTTCGAAGAAATTTAGACGAGTAACATCCGTCAATGATTTTTTTGTTTATCGAAGCTTTATTTTGGAGCAACAGCTTATAGCAAAAGTCTTTAAATGCAACAAAACTACACATCTTGCAAAAATTTGGACAAAATTTTGACTCAAAGGTAACCCCAAAAATGCAAAATGGCAGACTTTGGGGTAAAAAATCCAGGTTAGGATTTGGGTTAAAGACACCAGTTATTAAAGACAACAGTTATTTCGATAAGGGGGGACAGAGGGCCCAAGTTGCGATATAAACCAGACAATATTGAAGATTTAGATTTAAATATTGAGCCCTTTGGCTAGAAAATACTTTCTTAGATATTTTGGACAGTTTTTAATATTGGTAATGTTAATGAATTGTACTTGATTGATATGTAATATTTAGGCCCGTGGCCAGTTTTCAAAAAATTTGGGTTAAAATAAAGAATTTTTGTCAACTCTGAAAAAATCTCCAAAATGATAAAGATCTTGAATTGAATGAAGTCAATCTTGCTAATCGATCTTGGAACCTTCTCAACAACGAATTGTTGAAATGTCAAACACTAAATTAAAATGATTGCTGTACTCAATAAATTACTCAATAAAGTAATTATCGCTTTTGTATCCTTGTATCCTTGTATCCTTGTATCCTTGTATCCTTGTATCCTTTTATCCTTGTATCCTTGCTGTATGTAACTTTTCAGATTACACTGCTAGTTTTTTTACTCGTTTATGTATATTGTATCATACAGGGTGGGCCAAAAGTCAGTACTCATACGTTGGGTCTTATACCTCTGCTGTGTTTTATATTTGAGAGTTGTTGCTTTGCAGATGGCATAAGTAAGTAAGTAAGTAAGTAAAGATTATGACATAACATCATCACAAGTGATCTACAAAATATCATTGCACTAAATAGTAAAACAAAATTTTTTAAGTAAAACAAAATTTTTATTTACCACAAAACAATCAATACATATTTAATATTATTATACATTTACAAATAAATCTAAATTTAAATTCAGCTATACACAATACACAGCCCGCCGCGCAGACAGCCACACATTGCTGAGAGATTCTCAGGTGCAGATGTAAGCGCCGCGCGCGCGAGGTTTGTTATCTTACAATTACATGTCACGATATATTATTAATTATCAGAGAATTTTAGGAGCAAAATAATAATTGCATATTGGGCAAATTTCGGTCGTTAACGCAGTATAGGGCGTGGACACTGCAATGCTAATAACGGAAAATTTTGAGGCACGAGTTTCATTCAGCTAC